ACATTTAAAAAATTAATTGTTTTGTTGCTAGTAGTGGTGTTCATATCTAATCCAATCTGATTGATCCAACATAAACTGATCCAATTCAATCAAAAATCGATCCAAATTGATATAAAATTAGGTTGGTTTGAATTATAAAATTTTAAAACTGATATAATTGGTTTTGTTTGTGATTTTACTTTCAAACAGCCCAAACTGTCCAATTACAAAATAAAATCCGATTATAAGATAACTTAATTAAATAATATAATTTTTTGTAGTATTTTAAATTTTCTTTTTCTTATTTTACAAGATAATAATTCCATTAACTTAATTCAAAAATAAAAATAGAACATCTATATATTCCCTAAGTTATTTTTCCATTTTAATCATGCATTCTAACCCTAATTCTAAATTTCTAATTCACCTGCAATTCTATCCCCTCAGAATTTATTTATGCCTTTATTCTTAGAACCCTAAATTTCTAATTTGTTCTTAAAATAATCTTATGATTCTCTTAACTAAGTTTTAAATAAGTATCATTCTAAAAGTCTTAAAACTATATAATAAAATTAGTCTTGATATTTTACTATTCTTGGATATTTGGTTTAGAAGTTTTAAATTTTGATAATGAATGCTTCTAATCAATTTTAGTGATAATTATGTTAAATTTTATTCACTTTTAACATGATTTAAAAAATGAGATTAAATTATTAGTGCATTAAGAAAAAAACTAATTTTAATTTTTAAAAATTATTTATACTATGCTAGAAACTTGAAGTCATCTTTTATTGTTCTTGGTGCCTCAAGTGATGTAACCAAAAAAAGTTTTTAGATCTTTTCAATTTTTACAAATGTAAAAGAGTATAAAAACTCGTTTATAATTTGTATTTTTTATTATATTTTTACTAATTTGCACGATAATGTGTTTTATGGTTATGCTTTCTATTTGATATTAAAATATTTTTATATTATCTAATATATTTAATAATGTTAAAAACAGATTAATTCGACTGAATCATACTGATCCGATTTAAGTTGAATTGATTTGGTTATCATATAATAGTGAATTAGATTGATTTAAAAATTTTAGTAACTAATTAAATTATTTTAATTTAAAAAATATTAAAATTCGAATTAAACCACACTGCGAACACCCTTAGTTACTTGTCCCAAGACTTGAAACGGAACCTAATCTACAAAATAATATTTATTTATTCTTGCATTCAATCATTTATGCACACATTTAATGACATCATAAAATTGTAAAAATAAATGACTTGAAGAAAAATTAAAATATTCTAAAAGTTAAAAGGTTAAGATTGATAATAAAAAAATTAAAATATTTTTAATTAATTAACAAAAAAA